GGAATTTTCCATCCTGGAGTTGGCAACCCCGTCTAGGCGGGCAAGTCCCAGCCTGTTTCTTCGGCTGGGCTTCTGTTCGCTAAGCTTGCAAGCCCGGATGCCCGACCCCCGCACCCGTCTAAGAATTGCTGCGTTATTAGGGCTGGAAACCTGAATGTGTTGCAAAGGGAGTCAACTAAATTGCAAATTCTTTGCGGTCGGTGAGTGGGAAACCATGGTAACTGGATCCGCAGCCCCCTCCTTTCCCACAGTGAGGTGCGCAAATAGTCAAAATGTGAATTATGCTGACAGTAAAGGCATTCAAAAGAATGACACGAACCACAAAAGAGGTTTCCCAAGTTCCGCTCCGGAACCTGCCCCGCGCCAGCCTCGAACTCCCAGCTTTTCGTCGTCGGCGCGCGCTGGCCCGACCCTTCAGCTCCGTTGGGAGCTACGCGCTCACTGGCCGCTAGGGGGAAACAGAGCACCGCCTCTACAACGCCAAGTATTTCCCTTCCCCGCCCCGCCTCGCCCCGCCTCTTTTCATTACGTCCCGTAGTCTTGACGCTTGACAACCAAAAGCACCAATAGTCATTCGGAAGAGGCGGGCTTTGGCGCCGAAGGCGGGGCAACCGGAGCCAATCGCGGCGCTCAGCTTCGCTTCCCGTCTCCCAGAAGAAAGAAACCCCGAGGCAGAGGGAGGAGGAGGGGCCGTCGCTAAGGGCGGGGCCTTGGCCTTGACTGACGGCCCGCGCGGCGTTCGGTGCGGCGGGGACCGCCCGACTGACACGCTGGGGAACCAATGGCAGCGCCGGAGCCGTTGCGCTGGGGGGGGGGCCAATGGGAGAAAGGGAAAGGGGGCCGTCGCTAAGGGCGGGGCCTTGGCCTTGACTGACGGCCCGCGCGGCGTTCGGTGCGGCGGGGACCGCCCGACTGACACGCTGGGGAACCAATGGCAGCGCCGGAGCCGTTGCGCTGGGGGGGGGGGCCAATGGGAGAAAGGGAAAGGTGTGCGCCGCTCGGCAGAGGCGGCAGTTGAGGTGTGGCGGCGCGCAGGTGAGTGGCAGTGGTGGTGGGCGCC